TCCTTCCTTCCTTCCTTCCTTCCTTCCTTCCTTCCCACCATGGGACCTGAACTCTGGGTCTGGGGGCTGTCCCTCAGCTCTTCAGCTCAAGGCTAGTGTTCTACCACTGGAGCCACAGTGCCACTTCTGGCTTTTTCTGCTTATGTGGTGCTGAGGAATCGAACCCATGGCCTCATGTATGCAAGGCAAGCACTCTACCGCTGAGCCACCTTCCCAGCCCGTAACTAGGATTATAGATATGAGCACTCCGCTCAAAACTTTTTCTTAAATGTTTGAGCTATTTGTGCTTAAAAAAATATGTTCGTATTGCAAGTAAAATTAGATGCTTTTAATTATAACCCAGTAGTCTTGCACATATAACCTATGTAACTAGCATTGTTCAGGTATTTAAACATAGTTAAGTAGATTAGCTCTTGCTGACAAGGATCCTTGATCTAAAACAGATGACTTCAGTTTGGACACGTGTACAAAGAATTCCAAATGATAGGTGATGTAACACCACTACATAAATAAATATGTATTTATACAGGTTGTAAGATTTTATTTGATTTATATTTTTATTTTTGCAGTTCTGAGGTTTGAACTCAGAGCTTTGTGCCTGATTTGTTATTTTGTTCTTATAACCCAGATGAAGTTTGGGAAGGATTCCCTTGATTTCCACGTGGGGAAATGGTGACTGGGGATGGTTTCCTTTGTAAAAGTCCTTTCCAAAACACATTACACCCATCCCCCACCTTCCCTGGTTCTCCCTATTCAAGAGATCGAAAGCCTCTTAAAGTTACATTTGCCTTCTCCGTAGGAGAATTATTTGTTCAGCTGTGTAACATTGGGGAAACCAAGTCAGCAGGGAGCAAAAGCAGCTTGTCAAGGTATTTTGCAACTCCTAATGGCTGCTTCCCACCACATTTCAAGTACTTCTAATTGAGGCATACCCTGACCACTCTATTTAAAATTGTAACCATATCCCTAGCTCCTTTAATTACTGACCCTAGTCTGCTTTCTGTTTTCTTTTTCTGTGACACTTATCCTCTCAGCATATAATTTGTACTGTATAATTTACTTCATTATATCTATTGTTTATTGTCTGCCTTTTCCAAGTTCTGCCACCTCTTTCCCTCTCCAGAATGAAAGCTATAAGATCTTTTGTCTTTGTTCACTGTCCCCAACACTTAAACACAGTGCCTTTATGTACCTGTATAACTGGCTGGACTGTTGGAGCATGCTATCATGTCTTCGTATGGAGAATGCAGCCTTGATCTTCTCATTGTCTTCCTGGAATCATGCATCTCACACCTGTCCATGTAAACTGAAGAAAGATTGTAGAATAATTTTCAACTGTGAGAATCAGTGTATAGCTCAGATGCTAGTAATCCTAGTTAACTGATTAGTTATGGTGTGATTCTTTTCCGGCAAAGAGTACTGCAGTTAGTATGGATTGACTTTATTATTGTAGGACTCATAGGGAAAGAATTAAAACTGCAAAAATGACTCACCCTGCATGACTAGAAAGAAATATTTCTCCACAGAGGGAGGAAAAGGGATATTTGTCAAGAGAGAACTAATAGAATGGAATCAAGAAACCATATTCCATTTTCCCCTTTGATCAGTAGCTGCTAATAACCCAAACATTTCCTGAGCTTCTATCCTGTAAAGTCCTCAGCTGAAGCTTCAGCAAGAGCACCCCGCTGAATATATGTGCAAAACACTGTGAAAGCAAGTCATTGACTCCTGTATTTTGAGACCCAGGCCAACCAATGGGGAGAGAATGAACTAGGCTAGTTTTGTGTTTGTGGATATTTTAATAAGTAGCACAAGTAACCAGAAAACAGCACCAGTTTTGAGTCTATTGCATATTCCTTCCTTCTTCCTTCCCTTCTTCCCTCCCAACCTTCCCTTTTTATATCCTGGTACTAGGGGTTGAACTGAGGGCCTGGCACTATCATTTTGGCTTACTCACAGCTGACACTCTATCTCTTGAGCCATGCCTTTAGTCTGGCATTTTTCGGGTTAATTAGAGATAGTTAATTAGAGGTAGTATTTCATTTACCTTGCTGGCCTGGACTGGCTTCAAATATCATTCCTCAGATCTCAGCCTCCTGCATAACTAGGTTTACAATTGTGAGCCAGCAATACCCAGCTTCTGTTTCTTTTAAACTTCACAGAAAGCTGCTTGTCATTAATGTTTATCCTTTGTAAGGCACCTCTATTCTTCACAGGCCATCCTATACATTAAATAAAGCCTGCACATCTTTTGTAGCTTTGATGTCTGTGAGTTTTGCTGAACTGAAGGCCAGTTAGAAAACAGTCCCTTTTGCAGTTTCATACTAAGGAGCATGTGGCATTCTTTTGAGTATTATGCTAATCAGATCATATCTTGGCAGGTTAGCTTTTGTGACAGACTTCTTTCTGGAGGTGGTGGGTGGGAGGAAGGTAGCCTCTTTGGCTTTTCTCCAGTTCAAGGTATCCCTGCTCTCACCCCTCTCTTTTGTGTCTGTACATGGAAGCTTTTCTCTGCCTGGCTGGAAAGCATACTAGTTAAGTCATCTCATTTCCCACAATCCTCTCCTCTTGCTGCTCTCCACCCTCAGACCCCCCAGGGCCTGACGTTGCTCTCTTTGTGGGATGACAAGTTCAGAAGACTTTTTTGTCCTACCCTTACTATGACCATCATTAATCACAGAAGTGGCCCGCAGTTTTATAACAGCATAGTCTTAAAATGTTCCTTCTAAGTTTTAATTTCTCTCCTTTTGGCCTTTTAAGGACTCCAGTTGGCTTAGAGTTGTAGACTCCTTTTAGTATGGCTATGTGAGCCCTTCCATGACTCGGTCCCACCCATCCCACCCACAGGTCTGGAGGCTTGTCTGCTTCCCTTTCCTCTACAAAACTTAAAATATATTTTTAAGAAGTGACTGTACTATAACTTACTGCCTTTCTCCTGATCTTTGGAGAGACTGTTTTGCAAGAATTTGCTAGCTCTTTCCAAAAAAAGTTCAGAATCTCTCTGTCTCTCTTTTTTTAAAAATATAAATCCTGTCTTAGCTTGGGGGGAGAAATGATTTAGCTTTTTTTTTTAAACCTCAAGAGACGGAAACTTTGACCTAAGGTCAGTTTTTCAGATCGCTGAAAGTGAACACAAGAGTCCAGAATACATTGACTAAAACTGGCTAAAGTTTCTGGTTTGGTTCATGATTGCCCATGCAATCATTGGGCAGGTCAGCCAAGTAGCTCTGCTTTTCCTTCTCTGCAGCATAAATAGAGCTTAGAATCTCTAGTGGATGCTGCAATTCTATTGATACATAATATTAGCTAATATATGTTCACTAGTTTAACAGACTTATTGAGATATAATTTACATACCATTTTGTAAATTGTACAATAAAATAACTTCTTACTTATTTTTAAAATACATATGTATGTATAACCAGCCTGGTGCTGGTGGCTCAGGCCTGTAATTCTAGCTACTCAAGAGACAGATTGAGGATTACAGTTTCAAGCCAGCCCCAGCAGAAAAGTCTATGATATTCTGTCTTCAATTAGCCAGCAAAAAGTAGAGAATGGAAGGAGGGCTTCAAGTAGTAGGGCACTAATCCTGAGCAATAAAACCAAGGAGAGCACGAAGCCCTGAATAGGAACACACACACACACACACATACACACACACACACACACACACACACACACACACACACACACACACACACACAAAACCCAAAAGGAATAGATGTAATATTTATTATATGTGGTACTTCAGAAGAAACCATATGCCCCTTATGAGTTGCTATCCATTCCTCCTCACTTCTCACCAGCTTTCTCAATTTGTATGTGGTTAATGAATCCAGTCAGTTGTAACATTGGCTAATATGTCAGGGTCCATTTCTATTTTTGTAGTTTAGCTACAAGGACTTTGCTGCTTCCCTGACATCTATTCAATGTTTTTGGCCGCAGGCATTGGAGAGATAGGGAGAAGATGACCATTCATGATTCTAGAACACCACTAGACCACCCAAGTTCTGGCGTTGGCTCGCCAGAAGCCTTGCTCCTCCATCTAAAACCCTCACTTAAACTTTTCTGAAGAGTGTCTTTATTAAGAGCAGTTGATGAGGAACCCAGATCCCATTCTCACCCAGCAGCTGCTATGCAGTAGAGCTGAAGCCTTGGCTTCACTTTATCATAATTAGAAGTGGGTTTAAACATTTCATCATTTTTTGGCTCACTAGCCATTTGCAAGACTTTTATATGATTAGACAAATATGAATGATAAGATAAACTTTTGAGGATCTAAGTGTTAGCTGGTTGCTGGTGGCTTATGCTTATAATCCTAGCTACTCAGGAGGCTGAGATCTGAGGATAGAGGTTCAAAGCCAACTCTGGGCAGATAAATCCAAGAGACTCTTAACCTGCAAAAAGCTAAAAGTGTAGGTATGGGTCAAGTTGTAGATTGTGAGCTTTGAGGAAAAAAGCCATGTGCAAGGCCATGAGTTCATATCCCACTACTGGCACACCTACACCCACAAAAATCCAAGTGTGTATTTCCACAGTCAGAGGTTTATGTAGTGACTTAGCTGCTTGAACGGACTGAGTACCAAATACCTGAAGAAGTGTAATTTTCCCGAATCAAGCATGCAGATTCTTTCTTCCATAAAGTGATTTCCTTTGATTGCTTTCTGGGTAATATTTTTGGCTACTTGAATTAGACACATTCTCCTGACGACCATGCCATTCCCCATATTCTAGGATAGCAAGGCAGAGGTGGAATTATCAGTGGCTTGTAGTAAGGAATGACTAGAGCAAGGTTGGTCAACATCTGCTCCATCAAGGCTGTATGTGCCACAAGGACTCAGCCAGAACCAGAGTCTACTGTAAGACCTAAGAATTTTTTTTTTGTAAGTCCTGAGACTTGAACTCAGGGCCTGGGCCTGGACCTGGACCTTGAGCTTCTTTGTGCTCAAGGCTAACACTCTACCACTTGTGCCACAGTACCATTTCCCAGAGTCTTATGGACTTTCCTGCCCAAGCTGCCTTTGAATCATGATCTTCAGATCTCAGCCTCCTGAGGAGTACAGCCATGAGCCACTGGCTCATGTTTGCGTGAGCAAACTTTTTTTTGGTGTGTATGTATATGCCAGTAGTGGGGATTGAACTCAGGGCCTGGGTGCATTGACCCTTAGATTCTTTTTTGCTCAAGGCTGGCATTCTACCACTTGTACCACAATTCTACTTCCTTGAGATAAGAACCTTAAGAGAGATGTCATATCTCTATCAATATAGTCTTACTATATTGAACATTCTTTTGTCTTAAGGCTGGTAGTCCTCTGTCTAGTACCTCAGAGATTTAGTAGCAAGAGAAAATAAAGAAGCCCAATATATAAATTACAGAAGACCATCCTGTAGCCAATTAGGATAAGGTTTAGTATCCTACTTTTATCTTTCCAAAAAAGAAAACTGTAGGTGAAGGGAGCCACATTATAAATATACCATTCATGTAGAGAGAAACATGAAGAATTTAAAGTGCTGCAAGTTTTAATTAGTGTCAATACCATCCACTTTCTGAGGCTGTTAACATCTGTGTAGCACTTTACTCATGATATGGCTCTTGGAACAATCCAGAAAGGCTGGTTGGGCAGGTGGAATCAGTCCCGTTTTACAGATGCAGAAGCTGACTCAGAGTTTGTCACTTACTGTGTACTAACAGTGTGGAGGTCATAACCTGGAGCCCTAACATGCCTTCATACTTTTTCTCCCTTTCTCTCTTCTTTCCAGTTTTAGGGTCAGAGACATATCATTTAAATGGAAAACAAAATAAGAGTCATAAATTTAATTAGGTAATCTTCCATCTTTTTTCTTGTAGTCTTATGTGGAGCTGGGGGAAATCTAATACCTTAGTTTTTAGAATCAGTTACTAGCTGTCTCAAAGAAACATTTGTCTTCCTAGGGATTTTATTTTGTGGAAACACTTTGGAATACTTATGAGGTAGTTACATAAGTGTGTGGTATAGTGGATCACTTCAATTATCTAGATAGCTAGACAGTTCAGAGAAGCAGAGGGTTAGGGAGTTTCTTCTTTCTTTTTTTTTTTAACATTTTTATTGTTATTATAAAGGTTATGTAAAGAGGGGTTATAGTTAAGTAAGTCAGGTAGAGAGCACATTTCTTTTGGGACAGTGTCACCCCTTCCCTTGCTCTTTCTCCCAGTTTTTCCCTCCCGTCCCCACCCACAAGTTGTATAGTTCATTTTCAACATAGTGTCTAGTGAGTATCCCTGCTGCATTTGTTCACCCTTTGTTCCTCTATTTTTGTGCCCTCCCTCCCTTACCCTGAATGGGGAGTTTCTAATACCTGAGTCCTATGTTGAGTACCTGTTGAACTAAAATCACGAAGCAGGTCTGTCAGACGATGGTGCCCTGTGGGAAAGAGGAGAATGCATACCTTTGTATGAGGACTCATCTTTTCCTTTTGTTCTTCTCTTACCAGGTTTTGAAGGCAGCACCTGTGAGCGAAACGTTGACGACTGCCCTAACCACCGGTGTCAGAATGGAGGGGTTTGTGTGGATGGGGTCAACACGTACAACTGCCGCTGTCCTCCGCAATGGACAGGTGTGTACAGAGCACAGGTTGTGGGTTGGTAGTGGATCAGGTGGCTGATGAAGTAGGCTCTGTGGACAAGTGATTTTAGGGCTGCTTCGGGAGCAGCTTATGTACAAGCCTGGATCTCCATGCTGGGTCATCTTTGCTCCCTAGAGAAAACATGTTTCCACAGGTATTGGTGTTACTTTTATGGCAGATGTGACAGAACCACCTGACTAACCCCTGAGCTTATTATTTGAAACCACCGCACGTTGTCTTAACACTTACAACATAATAAGTATTTGAGAAAATGCCAGAATACAATAAGCTTTCTTAGTTGTGGGTTTATTACACATGGTTTTGAACAAGCATGGTCAGTAGTGGAAGTAGTAATAGTAGCAGCAGTAGTAGAATACTTAAAAGTTGAAATAAATTTCAAAAATAAAAAAAATTAATTCCCACACACAGTACACAGTGTAGTGATGTGGAGAAGCTCTTAATCCTGTGTATTGTCAGTTGTGTTTAAAGTAAAGGCTGGGCAGGCACTCTGGATGAAATCATTATTGCACGCAGCCTCCATTTCTGCTTCTCCTTTCTTGTTTGTCTTTTTGCAAATAGGAAAAAAAGGTAGGTTTTTCTGCCTGGTATCAGAAGAGTAATCTTGCTTAATTTTATAGCTGCTTAGCTTTTTTCATATTTTATTTTTTAAATTATTTTTGAAAGGTGAGTTATTTTATGTAGACATGTCGTTTTATTTCAATACAGACTTATTTATCTATTGAAAGAAGAGACAGTTAAAAACTGATAAAGGAATGAAGCCTGAGCCTTTCTTTTTGAGAGGGAGTGATAAAAGGATTCTGAGGGAGAGAGATTGAGTGAATGAAAGAGGGGGGTGTGGGAAGGGAGGGAGAGGGAGGGGATGGGGAAGGGAGAGGGAAAGGGATGATTGGCTTAGCCTCAGGAATAAATTGAGGTTAGAAGAAGAAGCTACCCACCCAGTGATAGGCCATCTCCTGTGAAGAAATCTTGGTGCTGGCTTACAGTCATTTCTACTGGATGTTCTTCAGGTCTCCCTTATCTTTAGCATCTAATTGTTTAGAGTACTCTATGCTATTGCAGGCTATGACTAGAAAAACTAGAAAGGATTTAAAACTTGAATAACCTAACTTGTCTGGAAGAGCCTGCATTTCTGCTTCTAATGCCCAAGCTGTCCTTTCTGTAGGTACTTCACTGGGTTTCCCTAGAAACTAGACTTTCCCTAGAAACTCCCAGGACGTCTCTTCAAACTTCTATACTTTCTGTTGTATTTGCTATAACTTCTGCCATTTCTGTCATAGACTTTTCAGAAGTTTTTTTCAAAGTTTATCTGTTATAAAGTTAATCGCTTGACAAATAATAACTAGAAAGATTTGAATTTTTAAAAATGTTCACAGTGTTAGTGGATAGGCTTAGATATTTGTGAGGAATCTGTCTATCCTAATCCTACTTTGCCCTGTGGGATGGTGACTGGGTGGGTGGTATTAAGACTTCTGATGCTGATGAAGATGAAATGGGGTGGTAATATAGTTGCTGATCTTCCTTCCTTCCTTCCTTCCTTCCTTCCTTCCTTCCTTCCTTCCTTCCTTCCTTCCTTCCTTCCTTCCT